AGGCTAATTCCCCCACTCTGACAATGCTTCTGTACTCTTTGAAACCTCACCTTTGAAGTGTATTATCTCCACCTTGCCTTAGGACAAATTGTGTTAATAAAAGCAAGGGTCCTAGACAAGGAGGCACTCTTCAGTTCCTTTAGCTGAAGGTCCTCTGACCCCCAATGCCTTTCAAAATTATAACTCGTCTCTGGACTCTTAATTAGTCTCTGGATTCCTATGTCATCTACGCGCAGCGCCTTTTCCAGATTCCTGAACCCTTCTTGATGCTGGGACATGAACCCTGGCACTCCCTGTGGGGTTTTTTAAAGGAAGTTTTAAAAGATATTTGTGTTTTGTACAGTTCCAGTCAGTAGAAACTTCCTGAACCCCAAACAGAAGCTGAAAGAGAAAAGCAAGAGTCCCAACCTTGAGGGATTTACATTCCAGCCTACCTGTCAATCATTGTCTATCTCTTAACAATACTATTAGGTTCCAGTTCCTTATGAGTTTGCTTCCACACAGCTCCATAAAAGGAAGAAAAAATTTGGCGTATGATAAATGAACTATTGATATACCCCCCACACACACTTTTTTTTTTTAACTTAAATGAAGTCTTTGTTTTAAAAAATCTACATAGACCACTTCCTAGCCAGATCCCCAAAGGGCTTTAGGAATCTCATTGGTCTTTCATGTACGTGATGTGGGGTTAGAGCCTTTTTTCCTGATCTAACAAGAATGGTAAACATGGAAGGCTAGGCAAGAAGTATGAATTCAACTAATACAATTGGTACCATAAACCATGACCCCAGGCTCCAAGCCCGGGGTAATTATTGCTGTGGCCAAGCACATCAGCTGGAGGGAAGGTGCTAGGGGAAATGGGAGAATAGGACAGTTTGTATATTCTGATTCATTTGGAACCAAGGAGGCAAACCAGAATCCAATCATGACCTCTTAGGAGCCTTGACCTGAGTGTTTATTATGATTTCTAGGGAAACGGTTAGGTTACGTAAGTTTGCTTATATGTATGCATGAATATGAGTTTGCTCAGCTGTCTAAGATTAAGACATTGGCAAATCCCATCCAAAGTGCTGACTCAGGGAAATCCACATTTAGAGTTCAAGGAGATAAAATGGGACATTGTGTTTTAAATTCTGGTCCAAGGTTCAGATTGTGATTACAAAACAAGTCAAATTGGCCTTACAGAGTCCTATAAGTATCCCATCCTTGCAGCTCCACATACTGAACCATCCTGGTCTTGTTCCCCACAGAATGGGTCTACTCCGACTCCTGGTGCTCTGCACCTTGGCCGTGAGCTGCACCACTACATCTGTGCCCCTGAAAGTCCCCAGCCACTTGCCTTTCCTCCTTCGTGGCTGCAATGATGCAGATATGCTGGCTATGGCGGCATCTGTTCTGCAGGACATCAATAACGACCTAAAGGAAGGCTATGTGCTGAGCCTCAACCGAGTGAGCGCTGTCCAAGAACACAGACAGGCAAGTGACAATCCCCTACCTGGGGCAGGTGTTTGCACCAGGTGCATAGACCAGCCAGGGGGAAGACATCCAGGGGACATGTTGGCAGGTGCTTTCCAACTTGGAAACCTGCTGAGAAGTCTCTGCTCCCCTCTGCTGGGTTGTACTACATGCTTTTACTGTTAACAGGAACAAGTGCTAATAGTATCTTACTCTGACACTTGTCCAGTGTCCCATAGTCTATAAGACATCATCAAAAATATGACAGCCACTGGTTCCACCATAAATCAGAAACATATTTGACCTGTCTTTAGGGGTTTCTGCTTCATGTGGGCTGTGGTACATTTTTTCACCCCTCCCCACAGGATGGTCTGGGATCTCTGTTCTATTTCACACTGGACGTACTGGATACTACCTGCCATGTGCTCAGCAAGAAGCTGTGGTGGGACTGTGAGGAGAGGCCCCTGCATGAACAGGTAAGTGTTTGTATCCCAGGAACTTTAGGGGAGAAACAGGGTGTCCTCTGTCTACAGGGTGAAGATTGCTCATTGTGTGCCATCTTTTATTTTTAAAATTTATCTTTATTGTTGAAAGTATTACAGATGTCTCATTCCCCCACCCCCACCCCATTTACCCCCTCTAGTCTACCCCTG